GTACTTGGTCCTGCTAGTGAAGGCAGGGGACTAGACTCAATGAACTTTCAAGGTCCCTTCCAGTTCTAGGAGATGGGATATCTCCATTGATTTATTATTTTCATGCCTCTGAGCAGAAAGCACCCTGAGCACCTCTGAATGCAGCGACACTTAAGGGTACGTCTTCACTGCAGTGAGCCTGGGTGACTGACACCCGTGTTAGCCTAGCCCAGGTGTGAAAACAGTCACACTGCAAGGCCAGATAATGCATCATCATTGGCACTGAGATCCCCTTTGTATTTCTAGGGCTTCTGGGGGACATATCCCATGGTTCTGTGTGCTGCAGTAAACTGAGCAACTCCATGATTCTTTGTCGTTGGATTGTAGGAAAACTTGTCTGTCCTCCTGGGCACATGGGGAGGTTTGTGAGAAGGCACTGGAGGACTGGAGTGATTTAGCCTGTGTTCTCACTGCAAAGTGATTACCAGCCCAAGTGAAAGCAGAACCTGGGCTCTAACCCACCCACATGGCTGGGCCAGCTAGACCAGGTTCAAAGTACCACTAAACTCGGGTAAGAGGTTTGTGGGTGTGGACGGAAGGGGGGGCTAGCAGCAACACCTGAGAAAGGCCTTGGGCTGCAGGAAGAGGGACCCTAAGAACCCAGCAGAAGACGGTGTGCCTGACATTGCAAATCTTCAGAAGTATAGGTATCTGAAGAACTTTTATTGTAAAGAAGGAGGAGAAGCTGCCTAGGGAAGGGACAGGGGAAAGTCACGGAGCAGAACCAGGATTGTGGGAACCTTTTCTATTTGGCTGAGAAATGATCTTTTATTAACACAGAGAGTCAGGGGAGCAAATAAGGGACCAAAAGTAAACATGTTTGAGGATTCACAGATATAAACGGGAGAGACACAAGAACCTGTTAGGGACGACAGGAAAAGGAGCAAGACGGGACCAGGGAAGAAATACAGGAGAAATTCAAATATGCAAACAGGCTCATAGACTTTAAGGTCAGACGGGACCATTATGATCATCTAGTCTGACCTAGGCTTTTAGTGGCCTAGCAAAAAGGGAACTTCCAGCCCTTTTAATGATTAGCATCAATAATGAGATGTTACTTAGGTAATGCCTGTTTAATAGAAATCTGTGTGAATGTGAATATGCCTGTGAATAGGCACAGAACTGTAAAGGAACATCTTACCGTTTCTCACCCCAAGGCATTTCGTAATCTCTTTGGTGGAAGGTGCTAATTTATTATGCTTCAGTTTTTGAAACAGCTTTTTCAGCTGACACACGATGCCGAAGTCACTATTATCATAGCTAAAAAATATCAGAGACATAAAATTAATCAGCCACCTTCCAGGTAGAATCCAGGTTCCGACCCAACTGCTGCTGCGGGAGTGCTTCCAGGAGAGAGTGGTCCCTCCAGGTGGCTGGGTTGGGTCCTGCGGGTGGCACACTTGGAGGAATCCCAGAAATGAAAGAACAGACTGAATTCAACTCTCAGCTCTGGGGGGGATTCTCTCTGGCTTGGTGATACAGTGCAATAGGGCACTGAGTAAGGGAGTGACAAGAACTACCTGCTCTGACTCTTTTCCGTGATCAGTCCGTGCTTAGGCTTTACTGGGATCGTTTCTTTGGGACTGGATTTCTGACCCAGCATCACATTTCCATTCTGGTCACGTCAGGTACACATCTGTCCTCAGCCTGCTCTGGCTCATGGAGGCTGGGACAGCTGACATTTCCACATTGCCACCTGGAGGCCATAGAGAGCTGTAGACAAGGAGCACTGTGGAGATTAGGCACTGCAGGAAGTACCGCCTGCAGGGCCCAGAGTGACAGCACCCTGCAGCTTTCTGATTGGCCCCTGCTCACTATTTAACTCTCGGGGTTGCCCTGGATGCTGTCTAGGCAACCGCATGGAGTGCTGGCTTGCTGTGACTCCAGGCCTCCCCTCCACTTTCTGACCTCCGGTCTCCAACTCCAGTCTGACTCTGACCCTGACTCTTGCCTCCTGATTACAGCCTGGTAGCTACCGCTGATCGCCAGTCTCTGACCTTGCTTGCTAACTACCACCTGGTGGCTGTCCTTGCCTTGTGGACACCAACCCAGCTGTGGTTGCTAGGCCAGACCACCTGCACCCTTACACAGACACAACATGTTACAGCTAAAGAGGTGTTTATTGAAAGATAACCTTTGAAACCCTTTCCTTCTGGTTAACACCAAGACAAGGTCTAACCAATTTGAGCTAGTGTCTCAGTTGTACAGAAGGAGGGAGATATTAAAACATTAAATATTATCCAGCAGCCAACCCCTCTGGCTCCCATCTCCAGCCCTGGCAACCTGGGTCCTATTTGACCTCTGGTCTCTGATGGCTGTTTTCACCACCTTCTCCCGCACTGTTCCAAACCCTCCTCAGTCATCCTTGGCAGGGTGAGTGAATCTGGGGAGCTCCCAACAGATGTCTGATCAGTCCATTTAAACCCCATCACACCTTTCAGCATCTTGAATGCTGATTTCACTTGCAAATGGTCCAGCTACACAGACGTACAGTGCCTGCCTAGCATGGAAACTGCCTCCTTCAGAGAGCCTTCCCTTAGAAAAGGTGTCTCCCTGCTACCGTGCCCTGGTCCTCTCTCTAGGGAACACTCTGCCACCGCACTGGACACGGTCATCACATTGCTTGAATGTGCTATGAAGCTACTATTAGAAGTGGGCCTCATTTTCCAGGATAACTTCAAGGTGCCTCCTCGTCTGCCCTCCTCATACCTGTGGGCTGCTGCCCCTTCTCTTCTCTCTTCCCCCTCACACCCTGAAGCCAGCTATCCCCGCCTGCCCCTTTCTCCTGCACGGTGCTGCCCTGTCAGCCTCGTTTCAAGGGGTCAGTCCTACAGTGGATCTCAGCATCAGAACCATGCAGCTACCCAACCTAACCACCCGTCTTTTGTGTGCTGTTGCTGATGTAACCCCAGGGGTTACTGTGAATGCCCTCACCTGAGGATGGCCTCTCGGAGCTCTCGCGTGAAGAAGAGACACTGCAGCAGGCTGTTTAAGTAGCAGGTGGAACCCTGGTTACGCAGCCCCACGTACCTGTCTGTAACCAGAGAAAATCTATTTCACATCCAGGTTGGTTGCTTGGTTGATTTATAAAAGGAGAGAAAATGATCAGAAAGTGACTAGCCAGAGAGCTGTAATACAGCAAAGCTCCTTTATCAGAGGTGGGTAATAGCTCTGGGTAAATGCATCTCTAGCTGTGTTGCAGGGCAGCATCTAAGGGTACGTCTATACTTACCTCCGGGTCCAGCGGTAAGCAATCGATCTTCTGGGATCGATTTATCGCGTCTTGTCTAGACGCGATAAATCGATCCCGGATCGATTCGGGAAGTGCTCGCCGTCGATGCCGGTACTCCTGCTCCGCGAGAGGAGTACGCGGAGTCGACGGGGAAGCCTGCCTGCCGCGTCTGGACCCGCGGTAAGTTCGAACTAAGGTACTTCAACTTCAGCTACGTTATTAACGTAGCTGAAGTTGCGTATCTTAGTTCGAAGTGGGGGGTTAGTGTGGACCAGGCTCAAAACCCCATCATTTCCCTCTGCCAGGATTTTACTGTTTGAGAAACAGGTCTCCATTCAGCTCCAGCTGCCCTCAGCCAGTGCCCTTCTGCTCCCCCCAGGTCCTCTCTTAGTTTAGTTTGAGTTGATTTAAGCACAGCCCATGATGTTCCCAGGCTTCAGAAGGATCAGATTCCTGATGTCAGGCGGGATCATTCTGACTACCAGAAATCTGTCAAACCTTCTGTCCTACTTTTGGGTTGCACCAACTCAGGAACCGTAGTTATGTAACACCTGAGGGATGATTCCCTTATCCTCCCTATCCTAGACGGCGTGCCTCATGGGACCGGAGAATGTCAGAGCCCATTCCTCACTTATGAAACTCCGACCCCGAGCCGGATGGCTGCAGCCATCGCCCAGCCGTTATTTTGCCAATATAGTGCATTGGTTGTAGGGACTCACACTCACAGACACTGTGTGTCTTCCAAAGTTTGCTGGGCTCTTTTTTCTAAACTAGCTGCCCAACAGTGATATATAAACCACCAAACAAAACTAACAAGAATGCCCAACATGGATCCCCTGCTGTGGGGTCCCCAGAGCCTCTCCCCCTCTCCACATGCTGAAAAGGCTGCACTTTGCACACTGCACCTGAAGAAAGGACTCAACAGGCTGTAGATATGCTGGGGAATCTGGGAGACGCCATGGACCACATGCGTATGGCTGTTAGGAGTCAAAAACATGGGTGGCCCAAACCCTTATGCACTTCAGTGCCCTAGACGTTACATAGATGTGTCTAATGTGCCCATAGGGCTGTGAATGGCAGCTTTAAGGTGAGCTCCCACCTAACTCTGAGTATTTAGGCCACTACTCACTTTACTTAAAGAAAAGGAACTGAATTCCCACTGCTTTGCCTTCAGCCTGAGTCCTGCCTAAAGCTCACTTACCTGGGTTTGAGGTCATTCCAGAGTTTCCTAAACTTTAGAAAGCGAAGACACCCACTTCAGGAAAATGAAATCAATCATTGCCCTGCCAGTGCTGCTAATATTTGATACATCGTACCAGCACAAACATACCTATTTTAATTGGTATACCAGTAACTCCTTCCCCCTTCACGTACCACTGGCTTAGATAGTCACATAATACTTCCTCAGCTTTCTTACAGGCTTGGAGCAGTGAGATAATTAGCAATGTTGGCATTTCAGTGATCATCACTGGTGTCTGAGTTACAGTCCATTGAAATGAATGGGGCAGCTCACACAGAGTTACTTCAGGCTCCCTGCAAACTCAGGCAGACATGGTTACACTCGGTTCATGTTTTGAAGGCTCTCTTCACAACCACGACAGCTAGAGATTAATATTTTTAAAATGAAAGCTGAAACTTCAGAGAATAATTGAGAGGTCTGTCTGTGGCCTCCCAGACAGTCTTCACATCACCCCCAGGGGGCTCACCCCACACTTTGGGAAATTCAGGGTTTTAGTCTAGGCCTGAAAAGTTGTTCCAAGAATTTTTTGTTTCTTTCTTTATAAATGTAGGTGTTGTATATCCTGGAAGAGAGCAGCTACCCATATGGTAGGACAATGCCATCAGACAACAAACATGGATTAATTGAGGGAGTAGTGATTTTTATTCAGATTGTTTAAAACTCTTTGATTTTGAGGTTATTTTTGTTAACACCAATTTAACTCCAACGTCCGAATAACACTTGAAGAAAAGATTTCTGAGTCATGATCCCAATCAACCTCCTGGAGGCAAAAAAATCCTCCCAATCAGCTAAAAGGGAAGACAAAGTATTTAATTCCTAACATTTCTAAGGTGAAATCAAGTAGAATTTGTTTAAACCAACACACTTGCAGGCCTTTGGGACATACCACGAAGAGGAAGAGAGCCCTTTTTTGTAAGTCACCTTTAGAAGGTATCAGGGTAGATCTAGGTTGGTACAGCTATTACTGTGGGTGCAGAGCAGGTAACACTGACACCTACCACTGTGAGCACTATCTGTAAATGATGGGGAACCTGAAGAACTCCTGCCTCTTCAAGTTACTTTGGCATTTTGCAATGCTCTGGACCACCACCCCCACAAACGTGGGTTGCCTTCCTGTGGGAGGCCATGGCATAACAAGTGCACCTGCCTCAATTTCCCATTGGTCCAGCCATAAAGAGAGCACGGTCTCTCTACATTGTAGAGTTTAAAGTCCCACCTCTGGGCATAATTTATTTGCGTACACATACAATAGTCCTTGGGAGAAATGTTTTACCACGAGGGTTCCGATTCCCAAAGTAAAACAGATAAAGGTACAGTGATTTTCCATTCCCCTCTCCAGGGGCATCACTTCCAGGTCACCCACCCACAAGTCCACCAGCACTCATTTCCCAGTTCCTTTCTGCCCATGTTTGATTTAGGGGCTTGTCTACATTGGCAAGTTTCTGTGTTTTTGCGCTCAAACTGCAGACGTATACACACTGCCAAGCCACTTGGTGCGCAGAAACTCCTCAGTTGCAGTGCTGCAAAAAAAACACCTTGACAAGACTCGTGAGACTATTTGCACAGAGGCCCCAGCACTCTATTGCCAGTGCAAACACTTGATTGCTTTCTGTGCTGTAATTGGCCTCCGGAGCTGTCCCATAATGCCTCAAGTGACCGCTCTGCTCATTGTTTTGAACTCGGCTGCCCTGGAGACATGCGCCCCTCCCCTTTCAAAGCAGGATTTCCGACAGTCCTTGAGTGCTGTGCTGATCTGCTCTGGGACACAAAGCAAACCATTAATGTGGAATGCTCGTGCTTTTGAACACAGAGACAGAGGGTGTGTGTGTGTGTGTGTGTGTGTGTGTGTGTGTGTGTGTGTGTGTGTGTGTGTGTGTAGTCGTCGTG